TCTATGATTCTGTGATTCTATGATTCTAGTGGAAGGTTTTTTTTTCTACATTATTAAAATCTCCAAAATAGTACACAAATTAAATTTATCTATTAATTATTTTTAATAGTTATTATACTACAGGATGGTTCCTGTAAAAGTAGTTCAAAGGTTGCTAAAGAAATAATAGAGAAAAAATTACAGTGTGAAGTAGTGTATGGGGATACATAGTGTAAAGGTGATGGTGTAACAATGAGGGAACTCAGTGGTTTTTCTTTAAGTTCTAATTAAAACAGACAAATTGAATGACTGCTTGTAAGCGTCTTGCATATTTAATAATTTCTGGCTTCTGATTTGCAAAAGTTGACTCTTGTGACATTTAGGAATTAATAGTCTTTTTTAGTGTGAATTCCCTTAAGTTACATTAGTATATTGCTTTCTGAAATCAGTCCTTTATTCTTGTCATATGTAAATTCTAATCCTGACTTACATTATCTACTTGGTTAGGTTAACATACTTGTGTCTGGTTTTTTGCCATTCTCTGTTTATTTCACTGTAGTGCTGAGCAAAACCCCTAATTTCTATTCTTGTTTTAATCTGTCCTTCTCCTGAATCAAAGATATAATTGAAATATTTACTTTTTTAAGATTGATACATTTAATAATAATATCTCTTGCAGTACATTTTAAAACATTTTGTTCCTGTACTTCCTAATCAACATGAAATCTGTGCTACCAGGATGCAGCACAAGAACCCAAGACCTGTTTTGTGTCATGGGAGATTTGCCTAGTGGAAGATGAGATGTTGATTTTCATGAAAACCAACCTGGTCCTTGAGCAAGTGTTTCAACTGGGAATTCATGACCAAACTTAGACAGGGATGCTGTAGTGCTCAGCTGTGACAGAAGCTGTATACTTCAGTATTTTGGCAATGGTTGAGGTGCCCTTAGAAGTCTCCTGTCCTGTTCAGGCTGGACTCTGCGAAGCTCTCTGTTTCCTGTCTGTGGCTGAGGCCATGCTTGGAGTATGGGCCTGTGTAACAGCGGTGTGAGGGGACACACCATGGAGTTTTAAATTGCCCAGACAATGTGCCTAGCTTAGGACTTTCTGACTGTCTTCATCTTCAAGTATCGTGAACATATGGTCTTTGTTACTGTGCAAGTTTAGGTTGATTTTCACCAGAACTAATGTTTTCACATCATCGTTTCTCAGTCATATGAGAGACTTTATTTGCTATGGAAACAAATATATGCTGGGCACGAGATGCTGACTCTGGGCCAGTTGGACTCTGTAGTTATTCCTGGGTATGTGTTAGGGCAGTAAGCGATAGTTGGCTCATATATTTGGTACTTTTCCCCATACTTTGTGGTGGTGTTCAGAGCTGTGCATGGCTCCTGCCATGCCAGGCAGGGAGGAAGAGTGCAGGCAAGCAGGGAATGGATGGCCCAGCACCCTGGGGGGTTTGCGTGCTGCCCCACTGCCAGCCCCGCACCCTCGGCGGCCTCTGGCTGTGTACAGGGACAATGTTGGCATTAAGTAAAAATATGCTTTATGTGACATATACTTGTTACTTAATCCTGTTTTTGAGCTTTCGTTGGCAAAATTTTGTGGGTCACAAGGATTACTGTTTGCTTACATGAGGCTGAAGTGTGTTTAAACACTTCTCATCTTGAGATATTATTAAAACTTCTATAAAATACCAAATGCTTACTGGAATTTTTTGAAACTGTTTGCTGAAGCATTTGTTTTACAGATGTCAAGAATCACATTGTTCAATACTGAGTTTTTAAATAATCTTAATTTCCAATGCATCTATTTTTATAGCGGACCACTTTTATGCTGGGTTTTGCAGTTGTTGTTATTATAAGGACATTCTTATATACATGAGTAAATTTATGAAAGTTAGCAATCCTGTTTTATTCAGTGAGGAGTATTCTTGTAGACATATATTGCCCAAAATTGGCAGCTCCTCAAATTACTTACAAAAACTGTATGACCGCAGGACTTTCCTCAAATGTAGTATCTTAAAAACTGTAAACTTTAATTGGCATAGAAAGTTTGTCTTCCAATATTCAAGAGTATCTTTTCCATTTTGTAAATTACTTTCTCCCATTCCTAACTGCACGTGATATACATACATGTTTTGAGAATGTATATATTATTTTGAAAATGTGTTACTCTAAATAAGTCTTTAATTAAAATGCCATGTTTAGATGGTTCATATATATATGATATGAAATGTATGTTTCATGAAACCGTTTCATTAGATGTTGCTTTATTTGTAGAAGTAATTGTTAGTATTCTATAATAATGGTACTTTTTTTAGCAGGTCAGATTGTTTCCCCACAGTCTGCTCCAACTTGTATTGAAAACAAAAATGATGTGAGCAGAGAAAACAGCACTGTTGACTTTAGCAAGGTAAGCATTCACTGTCAGTGCAGAGAGCTTCCTGACTACCAAAGAGATATTTTAAATTAAATAAAATGAATCCATGTGAATCAGGAAAAGCTGTCAAGTGCAAATTTTACTTCAGCATTAAAGTTTCCTGTGTACTGCAACACAGTTTGTATAAAACAAAACAAAACAAATTTAATTTTCTTGATGAATTACTGATAACAAGAAATCACAGATTAGGAACATAGATAAATTTATTGCGTGATAATATAATACGTGTATATTTGTAGGGGGAATTTTTACAAATTTAACAGAAAATTATCCAAGTAGGAAAGTAATTCAGAATTTGTGTAAGTCATATTTACCTCTCAGGTTTTTACTTTTTGTAGAAGTAATACATGAATGCAAACTATGCTTTTTATAACCTGAACTTGTGGATTACAGATGTCTCAAACAGAATGTGTTTCTGTAAACCTATAACTTAATTCTTCTGGCAAGCCAAGATATTTCAGTACACTTCACAAAAGATGTTAACTGTTCAGTAGTGGAGATTGCAATGACAGTTCAATGTTAGATAGCAAAGAAAAGCAAACAGCTTCTCAGCCTTAATGTAAAGGAGAATCCTAATTTGTTTAAGAAGTCTGTATGTACCTAAAACAAACTGTCACGTTAGATACGGATGACAGACCTGACAGGGACAGATGACTTCAGCTGACACATTAATACAACAAGGTTGAGTAAGTGAAGAAAGGTGATTTAAACCAAAATTATGAAGAACAGCACTTTGAGTCTGTTGAATCTTTGTGTTAGTGCAACTGAGCTAAAAGTAGAGTTATGTGATTGCTCCATCTGGTGCCAGACTTATCTCCTAGCAGCAGTAATTTGCACCATTTGAATTCTTGAATGAACATGCCAGACTAGGCAATGGTATATGGCTGAAATATAGGAAACAGATCTTTTTATCAAAGAACGTGAGAAGAAAGGAGGCTGGCTGAGGAGGTATTATGGACCACATTTCTACAGAGATAGTAAGGAGATCTATAAACAGTGACAAGTTGTTAAAAATTTAATGCTAATATTTAATATATTTAAAACTAGGATTATAATGCTTTAAAAAGTCAAGTATGATTTTGCTTTCCTGATTTATATTGAAAGTGTTAACTAAAACTAATTTTTTTGGCGAGTGTTACAATACCAAGATGTGAAATTTTGTCAAGGATATCAAATATAAATAAAACTGTCTAGTCAAAATTAAGCTGTGCAGAGGTGAAGCTCATAACAACCCAAAGGGAACAACATGAATTTCAGTAGTGCTTTTCTTGCATGTTTCCCCAATTACTTTGAGCATTGTAGGATCAAAATCCCAGTCCATTATCTAGCTGCATGATGTTTGTATTAAACAAGAATGATCCTTCACTCACTATTTTTGTAGTGCTGCAGCTTTGCTGATCAAAAGAGATCTTCCTATTTAAACTGGCCTGAGAAGAGATCAACGTGTCAACTTTTGGCTAGCCTCAGCGGTGTTAGATACCAGGAGGGATGTCAGGAATATGAAAGGAACAACTTTTATTTGCAGGAAAGAAATAACAGTAAAGGATTGTAATCTAAATTTTTGTCTGCCTTTAAATAGATCTGTTTATCCTTTTGAAGATGTATAATTTCCCCTTGAAATGTGCTATTGCAAAAACTCCCAATGGTTTTAATTTGAATTATATGCACAGATTGAGAGGAAAGTAGAGCACTACACTAATTTTCTCTTGAGTATTGTGATTTCTTGCTTTAATTTTGTCACACATATTAATTTCATTTATCTTCTACAAAAAGCACCTTTGACTACCTCACATATTCTCTCCTTGCTAATCTATCTCCCTTGGGCTACTTCTAATATTCCAAATTTTGGAGTTGATTCAAAAAGCTGATTTAATCTGAATACAACACTGAGACTGTATTGATTGTACTGGTATCTATTTATGAATAATGTGAGACATGGTACTAAAAGCTGTCTTGAATGTTACTTCAGTAACACAGAGATTGAGACATAGTTTCTGATGTTTGTCAGTCCTCTTCCTCTGGGGTCACCACGAGGACTTTGTATTCCCAGGGCAATATGGAGGTGATCTGTCACAGCACCACTTTATCCTGTGTCTGAGCTGGATGGGGATGGCAGTTTAACAACTGCGTCTGGCTGGTCTCTGCTTCTTATGCCAGAGAATGAAGGGAACCCTTGTTGTCCTGAAATATGAAATGCATAAAGAGGCTGTGCCCACATCCCTTCTTATGGCAACGTCCTGATGCTCCACATGGAAACCATATTGCTGAATCAAACCCTGGTCCCATACTGACAGAGTTTGGTCTTTCAAATACCGTGTGAAATAATTGACTTATTTTTGAATACTAGTTGGCCCTGCTTATAGATAAATCTGATTAATATGTCTCAAGGCTTTCTGAAGAAGTGATGTTGGGTAGCTTCTGTTTGTCTTCATGTCAAGTTATGTTTGGTTCCAGGGGAGGCCCACATCACTGTTTTTAGTCCTTGAGTTGCCCTGGAGGGGAATGGCCTCCACATTAGCTATTTAGTTTTGTGTTTAATTGGAGCTTGCTGGGGCTTTTTAGTGCCAGGTCATGAATATGGCTCAGGTTAGGGTGCTGATTAAGATGCACATGATGTCTATCCAGCTGAAAACCTCTTGGGATAAAAGATGTATGATGGATGGGTTAGGTGAAGTATTCGAAGGATGTAGCTTCTGCCATTGCTCCAAACTCACTCCAGGGCCACTTCTGCTCTTTTTATATAGTGGAAGCAACACCCAGGGTTCAGGTGCATTTGCCCAGTTAGATGCTTCTCTGACAGCTACTTTCCTTTTAACTGAGGCCTTAAAGATCCTTTTTACCTAAAAGATTTTTGAATCTCAAGCTGATAAATAGTACAGGAAACATACCTGGAGATACTTTCTGGTAGACAAGAGACTGAATGTTTATTTCAGATTTGAACCTTGATTATGTGATCTGTATGCTAGTAGGACCTTAAGGTGACAACTGTAGCATGTTGTATATGTGACATTAGATATTAAATGTTAAAACCAATCGCAAGGTAAAATTGGTACAGAGTGCATGAAACACTACTTCCTTTCTCTCAGCTATAAATGACCTATGGCACCAAAATTAGGGGCAAAGTGAATCTGTTCATGTTTTGTGTTTAACCCAGAAGAGTTATTTTGTGATTTGAGGGGAATAGAATTTACCTCACTTGATACTTTACCTTGAAAAAGTACTTTGACTCCAACCTTCCAGGTTGATTTGATGCTTATTTAAGCATCAAATGAGGTTTTTGGTCTTAGTTCTAGAGTAGCTTAGGATAGCATTAGACATCTCTTTGTGATCTGAGGGAAGTAAGATTTAATTACACAGGCAACTGTGTTATATCTGAATTCTGATTTATTGCCAGAGCCATTTGCAAGAAAACAATTTTCTAAATATTACCAAAACCTATGCAAACTAGTACTGACAGATGGCTGCAAGATAGACATTAAAATGGTCCACTTTAACAGTTTATATTGGATTTGGTTGCTGTTGTTGTGTTTAGATTAATAAAAGGAAAGCAAATGAAAAAAAAAGCATTTTGAAATGTAGACAATACTGGTACATAACGAAATCAAACATACATTATACACTCTGTTACTCCATGTTGATCTTTGTTACAGAGCAAGCTCTAGCCTGATACTGAGGAAATAAATACAAATGAACACATTCTTAGGCGAATACCTTGAGCTTATATAGCAATGTCATGATGCTGTTCATCTATCTTTTCCTACCATCCCTGTAAGAGTCAACATTGCTGCCTTAAAACTCCAATGTTTTTATTTTGCGTTGTTCTTTCAGTTTACTCTTGAGACTATCATGGTCATAGCAAATTTTCTGTTATTTTCAGCAGAAGGGCAACTGTCTTCCATTAAATCCAATACCAAAAATAAGTTTCACTTAGAGTAGTAGAAGGAAAATTACATCTAGTGGAATCTGTTCTTCTCATTGAGATTATAATACAGCAACTGTGAATTAATGATGTTCAGAATTTTTAATTATGGAAAATAAGGTGTCTTTAGTTCTACTGTTAACGATTCTTCTGTTATGAATTACTGATGCTGTTACGATTATTGATAAAAAGTGTTACTAGGATATTAATACTATATTCTTAGCAAGATTTTGAATGTGATTTGTTGTCTTTATAGATTAATTCTGTAGTACTTGAACTATGTTTCCAAGAAAAATTAGTCAAATAATGAAAGACCAGTTGTTTGGTTTTGAGAAACATTTTTATTTAAAAAAAATTATTCAAAAGACAAGAATAGTAGAAACTGTATAATTGAAATAACTAGGATTGTAGTGCAGTGACCAGAAAGTCCCTGTCAACAAATCAGGGGGAAAAAAAATCCTTGAGAATAGTTTTTACGTTGTAATTTAATATAATTTTTCCAGGTTGACCTGCACTTCATGAAGAAGATACCACCTGGAGCTGAAGCATCAAACATCTTAGTTGGTGAACTAGAGTTTCTGGACCGTGCGGTTGTTGCTTTTGTTAGGTTGTCTCCTGCAGTGCTGCTTACAGGACTAGCTGAAGTCCCAATTCCAACAAGGTGCAGTTGGATTTATTTCTCTTCATGTTTTTCTGAGTACCTTATGGAGATAGGGTGATGTGACTTTCAACTTTGTCATTTATTAAGTTATGAATTTGTTTGTTTCTTTAACAAAGACATTTCTTAGAGAAATCTTTCCACGCATCCTTTAAATGATGTACGGGTATATTGAGAAACATGCCATTTGTCTGTGCAGATAGTAATTCTTTGCAGAAGTAGAAATGATAGCTCCTTAGGTTACAACACAGGTACTGCAGATGAAATATTAAGGTGAAATATTCAGCTTCTTAGAATATTTCATCTGGAACGGAAATGTACGTGTGTGATACTGCATGATTATGTCCAGAAGAAAAAAAAAAGAAGGAGTTGAGTAAAGGCAAAAAACAAGCTATGTGATTTGATTGACTAGGGATAGTGAATGGATGAAGAACATGCTATAAATATCATGCTCCTCTAAAAGTTACTTTCTAGATTCTTTCATGGTAGTGAATGTAACTTTTAACCATAAATTTTTATTAGGTTAATTTTTTCTAAGTTGAAACTTCTGTTGAAATACTTTGAGAACAAATTATGAGGAATTTAAAAAAAAAATCTCTAAAATAGACTGTGTTGTCAAACAGGAAGCATTTAAATAGATCTGCAGATATGTTGTGTCCCGCTGGCATTGATTCAGATCAAAACTCCCAAGTGATTCTCCCATATCTGAGTTCACTGACTTAACTATTACTGCAGTCTCTTTTTGTATTTGTGCATATGTTTGTACACATGTTCTGTTTGTCTTTCCCCTTCCTTCTTTTAGTTTCTATAAAATAGAATTCCAACAGGAGGCACTAGTGTATTCCAGTTGTTGGTGACACTCAGGAAGGAATGTTATGCTATGAAATGCAATGAGGAGACTCAGATCCTTGCTCCTAGTCACATAAACAGTATAAAATTTTCTTTAAGTTGTAGTTACTTTGGATATGACTTTTTTTTGTCTTTTCTAATTTTTGCGTGTGTATAAGGAACGATGACGGACTGAGCTGGCTTTGAAAAAAACTTCTGGAGTCCTTCCTCGTAACCTCCCCCAACTTTCCACAAAAAACCCACCAAAGGGAAAAGAACAGATTTCTTGATTTTTGGCCAAAAGAAATTTAAATAATTAAAAGCTTGGATAATTAAGAATTTCTGCAAAAATGTTGATTTTAAAAACAATTTAATAATGTTAGTAAAAAATTGTCTTTTGCATTTTAGCAAAACTGAAGACTTTAGTTATTTAATTTGAACCTATTCTCCACATTTTATAGGCCCTTACTAGCCCCAAGCCAAGAGTAGAGGCTGTCTAGAGTGAGTAAGAACGATATAAAAATTATTTTTATTCAGGGTAATTTAACTTCCCCGATATTGCAGTTGTACCACTACAATAAAGTTGTTGATCAGTTGAACTAACAGAGTGAAATAAATTAATGTTAATGTGTTCTGTACATAGATTATAATTGCATATATTTATTATGTAAGATAAAGTTTGTTATGTGAGGAGGTTTTTTGATAGTCTCAATCAAGTCTGACTGTGAAGGTTATGATATATTTTTGGAAGTTATTTTCACATTTTTTTGTAACCAGAGCTTCATGTTTAAATGCATGTGTGAGGATCTTGAGGGGGATTATACATAATATATGTCTTAGAGGTGCTTCTAGTCCAGTTTTAAAATAAGTATTTCTGTAGTATGTGTAGTTACTTTCAACCATCTAGCCTTTACAATTTTTAAAATTTATCTTTTATTTGCAGATTTTTATTTATTCTTCTTGGACCACTGGGTAAAGGGCAACAATACCATGAGATTGGAAGATCAATTGCAACACTAATGACAGATGAGGTATTTTTATTCATGGTTTGGTTTTAGTCATTTTGTACTGACTGAAGAGATGTAATGATCTCGAATGTGGAATTGAACAGATAAAATGTGGCTAATCATGCTGATGATGCACAAATAGCAGTCTAGTTCATTTCACAATACTGTAACAGCCCAGATTATGCTGCCATAAGGAGATAATAAAATGAGAAACAATATTCACATGCAAGGATATCTTCAGAAGATTCCATTTACACAGCTACTTTCCAGTGGAACTAATTGTATTTTAAACTATAAAATCTCTAGAACATTTAGCACCCGTAAGGATATTTTTTCATAGCAGCTGGAGCTTGTGTGAAAACTATGTATTGGAAATTTCCAATTGAAGCTGAGATTATTTGTTTGGTGGGAACCACATGAAATGCATTCTATTTCAGGGGAAAGGGGCCATCATGAAAAGTGTTACGAGTATTCTTTTCCCTATCTATCTTTCCTGCCACATAACACTTCTCCGTTTTTCACAGGTGTTCCATGATGTTGCTTACAAAGCAAAAGACCGCAATGACTTGGTATCTGGAATTGATGAGTTTCTTGATCAGGTTACTGTACTACCTCCTGGAGAGTGGGACCCAACAATCAGAATAGAACCACCCAAAAATGTTCCCTCTCAGGTTTGTACACTGTAGAATTCAAACATTTTAAAACGCTGTGATGAATTTTTGTGAGGTAGAATTAAGTCTCATTAATTTAGCATTTAGCAGAGTCACTGTATAGACATTATGAATGCTGTTTTTTTTTTTTTTTTTGTTAATTTGCTTTAAGAGAACCCTTGTCTTCCAAGCTTATAGTATAGTGATAACATTTCGTGTAGTGCAATGTTAGTTCTCTCCCAAGGAAAGAGAGGTAGTTGTATCTAAAGATCTTAAATTCAGGGGTAATTGGTCATAAGCATCTTTGATTGTTCCAAACAGTCAAACAGTCATGGTTTGCTTTTGTTCTAAGCTTATTGCAAGAACTGATCAAAGCAGCCTGGCTTGCTATTCTTTAAAATGTTTTCCGACACAAAATTTTCTGTGATCGATTATGTTTCTTAGACCATAATTCCTTCTACTATTTCCTGTTACAGAACTCCTCTACAGCTTATGAAGAGGTTATGTTAATGAATCTTACAATAAAATTTACATATTTAGTCTTTGAACTCTCAAAGCCTGTTTCCTATGCTAAAATTACGTTTTGGTTGCTAAGACCTTTGAGAAGTATCTTTTTCCTTCTGGTAGGAGAAGCGTAAGATCCCGGGAGTGCCAAATGGAACCGCAGCCCATGGGGATGCAGAGCAACCTGGAGGACACTCCGGACCAGAACTGCAACGCACCGGAAAGTTAGTGAAAACATATGCAAAATCTTGAGTGTTCCAAGTGATGCACTTCCAAAGGAATCACAATGGTCTGGTTCTCTCTCAGATGACTGGCTTGGCATATGATTTTTTTTCAGGCATTTTTCCTGATTTGCATACCACATAGTTGAAAAGGACAACACATGCTAATTTGCAGAGAGAGGGAGAGGGCAAGAGGATTTGCGTTTTCACATTGTATTTATTGCAAGCTCCTTTATTATTTATAAAGGTCAGACCTCTGTTAAATTTGATTAACATTTCTTATTTTTGTACAGCACAAATGAAAAGTTGGGAATATTCCTGTGCCATATATTATGAATGCTTACAGCTGTTTTGTAGTTGAAGTTTCTGGGGTGTGCAGCTCTAGTTTTTATTTTTTTTAACCTCAGTTATCCATGATATGTCCTGGTACATGAGGCTGCGATTACCATGGTGGTTGCAATATGCACACACCAGAAGGAAGGATTTGCCCAAGGAATACTTACATTCTTGTCTAATATGGTGTGGCGTTAAGTGCATTAGCTGCCAAGGATTACCTTAGTGCAGTGTAGTTGTATGACAGACTTTTCTTTTACCTTGCTGCCTTTTAAGTATCGTTTCTACATGCATAAGGCTAAAGATTCAACAACAATGTTGGTATACACAGTGGGGAAGAGGAGATGATGGCCACTCTGGCTGTAAGCACCGGTTTCTCACTGGTGAACCTGCTAGTTGACAGGTCAAAGGATCATTCTAATATTTAGGAGATGGTGGCATTTCATCTTCCTCTCTAGCCCAGCAATGTCTCATACATTGGGTGCCTGTGAGAAAAATAACATTGTGGGGATATTTACTGTAACTGTATGGTATATTGTAAGGGAGTATCTGTTCCTAAATATTTGATTATATTTAGCATAGTGTAAATGACAAAAGACGACAGTTCTTGTCCTTGGGAAATTGTGGCCTACATTCAGTTCTATCAGAAAGTATATTTAGGAACAGGTTCTTAAATAAAGAATATGAACCTCTGTACGTAGACGTGTGGGCAAATGGGCACTGTGGCAGCTCTCTGATTAAACAAATGCAAATAATTATTTAACGTAATACATAATAGGGTTTTATGTGTGGGAGCTAACAGCTGTTCAGAACTTTTGGGTCTGGATGATTAGATGAAGATTTTATAAAAGAAACATGCAAATTAGTTTGCTTTAGGAACACAGTTTATTGATTAAAGTTACAAGACAAGGTTCCCATAAACTTTTTTCTGGGAAGGATGAATTGTAAGAGTAGGTATCTCATGATCAAGGAACAATAGCTTCTCTACAGTATATTTAAAGCAATACTGTGCAAGAAAATTCGGTATGCCTTTCATTCAATTTGATCTCTTCTATTTTTTTTAGATTCTTTGGAGGATTGATTTTAGACATAAAAAGAAAAGCTCCCTTCTTCTGGAGTGACTTCAGGGATGCTCTCAGTCTGCAGTGTCTGGCATCATTTTTGTTTCTCTACTGTGCTTGCATGTCTCCTGTCATCACATTTGGTGGTCTGCTGGGAGAAGCAACTGAAGGTCGTATAGTATGTGTTAAATCTGAACTTTTAAAACAAACTTACATTCCTAGGTTTTTGGTTAGTATTCTCTTAGCATTGCATGACTCACCTTTAAATGTTGCTGTTTGAATGTTTAGAAGGCTACAGACTAAGACATTGTGAAAAGAACCTGTTTGAAAATTTATGGATGCTTCTCTCTGTATCATATTCAGAGTGCAATAGAATCGCTGTTTGGAGCATCCATGACTGGAATTGCCTACTCTCTCTTTGGTGGACAGCCTCTCACTATACTTGGCAGCACAGGACCAGTTTTAGTGTTTGAGAAGATCTTATTCAAGTTTTGCAAGTAAGTGAAGATCATGATATGCCTCATCCCTCGGGTGTTGCTAGGTGAAAAGGAGAGACACTGATCCCAAAGTTCCAACATCTGCAGAATAAGATCAACAGTTTGTATTGGAGTGCACTGCTTAGACTTTCACTGAAAATTATGCAGCAACTGAGACAAGTGAATTGGTGGTAATACAACAAGATTGATGAGGGGTTTTTTGTTTGTTTGTTTAAAAAAAATCAAACCTGTTTTGAAGGGAATGTAAGCTTCAGGATGTGTGGGTTTTTTTTTTTTTTTTTTAATTGTATAATTTTCTACCATGAAACAATACATTTAAATCTGTGGTTTATCTCATCCCTAACTCATGCAAAAGGTCTTACCTCTCACCCAGGAAGTGCAGTGGCAATGGTGCCATCTTTCAATAGTCACTAATACAGACCCTGCCCTTCCTCCACCCAAACCGAGAAGGAGTGAAGCATCGAACCAGAACAGACTATCCCACATTTATGTTAATGTGCTATACATGAAATACCTGCACCACAGCGTGCATGGGTAAAAATTATGTCTGCATCTTGGCAGCCATCATGCCTCTCTGTGATCCTCTCTGCTTTTCTGCCTCATTGCTGTGATGGGGACTTCTGCACCAAGATCTCCTGAACATCCTGAACAACTTAGAGTAGGATACCCCGCTTAGCACCCCAAAAACTCTTTTATGACCTTTAGGTTGACCTTTCAGTTCTCTGTGATAATGTCACCCAATGTGTTTGGAGCTCTTTTATAATATGCAATAAGCATACAGGATTTTGATTAAAGTTGTTGTTAGAGCTACTCTTGCAGCTTAAGAAGCAATTGGCAGGTGCTGGCTGTTCACAGAGCAGGATGTGGGATAAAAAGAGGATGGGCCTTACACACTTCACATGCATGACTACTCTCAAATCTGCTCACTTGCTTTAGTAGAAATAGAGCTCTTTGTGTCCCATTAATTGGCAGGAGAGCTCAGATTAAGAGGGTGCTTGACCGTATCTTTAGTTCAGAATAGGTAAATAATTTCTGATTCAGACTGTCCCCAGAATCACACATCTCTAGGCAAAGGAAATTTTGGAACTGCCTCTTCTCCATGTACTGTGGCTGGACAGAAGATAAACTGTGTTTAATTTATTCTTTTTTTCTTTTTTCAAGAGAGTATGGGTTGTCGTACCTTTCTCTGAGAGCTAGCATTGGACTGTGGACTGCAATCCTGTGCATCATCCTTGTTGCAACTGATGCAAGCTCCCTAGTCTGCTACATTACCCGGTTTACTGAAGAAGCTTTTGCTTCTCTTATCTGCATCATTTTCATTTATGAGGCCTTAGAGAAGCTGTTTCATCTCAGTGAGACGTATCCAATCAACATGCATAATGATTTGGATCTGCTGACAAAATACTCGTAAGTACTAGATTTCTTCTGTTAATATTGTTTTTTGTTTTGGTTTGTGTGTTTTTTTTTTTTTTTTTCTTCAAAGGTTATGTTTTCTCTGTGAGGAATGCAAGCCAGTGCACAGAAGGAAAAGTTTGCAGTAGTTGCAAACTTAACATGTGGAAGCTATTGAGTTAGGCATGATGCTGGCATATGGAAGTAGTAGTTACTGGAGGTATAAGCAATACACATTTACTTAAGATAAGTAAGAAAAATCTTGACTTGGAGTTTGGAAAAGCTTCCACACACACAACTTGGAAGTCTTAGAATAAAAAATAGGACTTGGAGTTACCTCAGCTTTAGTTGTTTATTCACAATTTTACTTAATGAGGTGTAACTCAATGATCTCTTACTATAACCTTGTACTGATGATTTATAATATTTTATTAGGTGTTCAGACAGCATTTTTATAACAGATTTATCTAGGGGTTTTTCCAAATTGAAATATTGACCTATCTAAAAAGGATATAATTTAATGTACCTCCTTTATTTTAACCTCTCTCGCAGTCAAGGTTCAAGCTTCAAGAACTGAAGTGGACTTGGAATTGTTAGGTGCTTCTCAGTAGTGATTGATGTTGTCATAATCAATTTGTTCGTAATAACAAGTTTTTAAATATGACTCAATTTAAGCAGCTTTATTGTGGAGTTTTGACAGGTAGTATTCTACTTGGGGAATAAAAAAGTGAATGGCTTTAACTCATATAATTTAATTTAGAAATAAAAACTCATAGATTTGTTGTTGTGGTATGAGAACAAAAATGTTCTTCTAGTAAAGGACAAGATCCTAGTCTGTCCTGAGGCCAGTTAAGCCCTGTCACCTCAGCGACTAAAATGTCATTAAAAAGCATTTTCAGAGAAGACCCCCCTCCAGAAATGTCTCTATTATTTCACTGAACCTATTTGAACCCTCTGCAAGAGCAGGTTGGGGCCCAAATGGAACAATGCTTGAACAGTGCCACATCTTCTGTTCACTGGAAAAACCGGCGTTTCTCAACCAAATGTCTCATTTGCTTTCTAAGCTGGGAAAAACAAAACACAGCAACAGAGAAAACATTTGAGCTTTGTATATGTTATCACTAGAAAAACAGTTAGAAAATCCTGAATCTGGATGCACATTATATTTCTTACTACACAGAACAAGTTAAATTATAGAAACTATAGTTCTGCTGTGACATACTCTCTCATCATGCTGAAAAAGTATTATTTCTCTCTAATAGTTTAATCAGTAGACAGAGGAATATTAATTTGAAGAGAAAGCAATAAACATCAAGAATAGACCATGGATGCAGTTAAGGTTATATTCTGGTCTTATTTAACTTCATTTAACTTCTGTGAACTTGGTATTTTACTCTAAGGAGCCTCGTATAACACAGTGTTAGTGGATTTTTTTTTTTCTTTACCACTTCAAAGTAGTCATCTCAAAGGGAAAAAGAATATGATGTTCTTGTATGGTTTTGAAAAACAGATGTTGGAATACTATACAATGACAAAAAATATTCAGAAACCATTTAGCAGGCGGAGCTGAGATGTTAAAATATGTAACGAAAAGCATAAACATGAATAGAAATACAGATTCCTGGGTAGCTAGCTTTATTCAGGGTTAGCTGAACCCCATGATATTGCTTGAGATTTCAGAGAAGTAAGATTAACAGTCCTGCTTGTAATAGGTATCTCTATATTTTACATGTTTTAACATCATAGTTCTTATGTTTACAAATAAATGTTTTTTATTTTGTTTAAAATTCCATTAATCAGAATCCCAAAGTGATTTTTGAAGGATGTTGTTCTGCCTTGCAGATGTTTGGAAGAACTATTTGACTGCTTTCTGGTGCTTTCAAACACATATATAGCTATCAAAATTATTTGATGTAATAATTTTGTAGTTATTTACGGGGTCATCATTTCATACCTATATTCTCAGTTATTCCTTCACTCTGTGTAGATAGTACAAATAAATTGACTTTTAAACTCTTGCATTACATTTCATTTTCGGCATTTATGTTGCATCTTCTACTTGCAGCAATATCCTGTTTATTATTGATATCACACCCATGGCAACTGACCCCACTAATGCCAAAATAACTAGCTGTAAGACATAGTTATAGGCAGCATAGTTCTTGTGGGATGTGGCTTATTTTTTTAACCTTAAAACTGATGGTTGGAAATGCTAGTATGCATATTGATTATCTTGTCAGAGCACATCTGCTGATTCCAAGGATGTGTGCTCTAAACACAGCAAAGCAGTAATTCCAGCCTCTTCTGTTCTCTTCCCTCCCCTCTCCTTCATCTGAGTTTTTCTTAGTTCTTCAGAACCGGCCCCGACAGGTTAGAAGAATGGAAAGATGTGCTTTGTTGGAGCAGCTGTACATCAGCTGCCCAGATGACCAGTGCTGTCACAGCAGGCGTGGTGCAACCTGAACTCCGTGGGTTTGCTGTGCAGAGATGCACGTATTACTCTGTCCAGACACAGTGCCTGTTTGCCCAGAAACATGAAGGTGTCCAAATACCATCCTCACGGGATCATCGCAAGATAAGAAATTTCAAATAACCCTTAGTCTCTGCTCAAATGTCTGTACACATCTCAGTTCCAGAAAGATCAGAAACTAGAGGGCTTACTTGAAGTTAAAAAATCTTTTTTTTTTTTTTTGTATGCTTGAAGTTGAGGAATATTGCTTTCGCAAGGAACTAGAAGCTGCTTCTGCAGCATCTGACTCCAGTTCTTCTACTTGTAGTTTAAATGAGTAACAATCTTGGGCTGAAACTGTTCCTGTCCTTAAAGGACCAGCATAGTCTGTTACAGACGCTGATTAGTGTCTGCTGTTTTGCTAATTAAAGCAGCCGTTTGCATTTTCCTCTTTGGGGATTTTAAAGAAAATTTTTTAATTGTTTGTAAAGCCTTGGCAGTTCTTTAATTAGCAATGGGCGAACTTCATAAGGTTGAGCAACTAATTTCTCTTTGAATGCTCAGACAAAGCTTATGTAATACTTTATCTTGGATCTGCACTTCTGTGCAGAAAACTCAGGTTATACTGTAAAATTTATGTGTTTTCTGTATTCTGTCTGCCCACTCATAAAATTGATGATAAATAGGTCAGGACATTGTACATATTTGAAGCTCTTCTCCCATGGGCTTTCCAAGGATGCTCTGATGTCCAGGCATAGTCTGTCTACATCCCGGTACTGTTGCTTTTGCCCTGTTGAAGACACGAGTTTGATCCAGGAAAAGTCATTGGCATGCTCTTAGTACTGTCCATTGAAGTCCTAGAAAGACAAAGAAAATAGTATTTAAAATGGTTGGTATTTCAACCAGATTGGAACCATATTTCAGGTAATCTCAAAAAGACAACAATATCTTTTGTTGGATGATCTAATTAATGTAGAACTAGTCCTAGTGCACTTCTTACTCATTTTCTTTATTATACTTGTTTGTTACTTTGTGTCGAAATATTGGCCCTAATCTTCAGGTGATCTACTTGCAGGCAAATCCATTCAGCATTCGTATGTAACTTTTTCTCAAAACACCATCTTTCTGATACGGACAATAAAGAATAAGGCATTTAAGAGCTAAATCCGAAGAAGACCAAAGACAACCTAATTTTCAGTGTGCTACTGTTTTGCCTTTTTTTTTTTAATTTTTAAACTGCATTGTTTTGAAGGAATTTAAATACAGTAGCTGCATTGTTTATTAAATACACATTTGTTTTTTATCTGGGCTTTTCTTTCTTCCGTTTTTTAATTTTTTTTTTTTACTGTGACCTTTTTGTATTTGTCATGCCATTAGCATTTGTAGGTTGGCATAGCAACTCTTATTTCTGCACTTTCCTCCTCCTGCTTTTTCCTACCCTTGTAGCAAATATATCTCCAGTTAGTGAATCCTGTCTGAACGCTGATGCACATCAGTTTTAATGTGTATATTAAATATTAGGATATCCTTTTTGCTAGGTAAGGAGGACCCTACATGTGAGTGGATTAAAACTAGAGGTTCTCAAAAGGAAAAACAAAATAAGCATTGTGGATGAAACATGTTGTAGAAAGCAATCCAGTATTCTTTAAAATAGAAGCATTTTAAGATCGTTATCTTAGAATACAGAAGAGAATTATTTTTCAGTGTGAGGTTGCTTACATCTTGGGACTTCATATACCTTTTGTTTTTATTAATCTTTTTTTCAGAGTGATGAATTCATGTTGTTTTTAATAATTCTTTACCAGAAGTTACTCAATTATTAACAGATTACATTGAATAATTTTAAAGTGATTTCTTGGCATAGTAATATGCATATTGCAATCTGTCTTGGTATTGACATGCACTTAAGCATTAGGAGTAGAAAATCCCACTCTGATGTAATTAAGGAGCCAAGATCATGTCAATCTCAGTATCTTTTGCAGGCTACAGAAACCATTGCTGCTAGAAGGCATTGTGAAGATTAGTTCTGTGCATATCACTGTTTGCACAAGCAAGTTTTAAATCTTTCATTATCTGTATAACTTAATCTAAATATGTTATTATTGGATGCAAATTATGTTGTTTTATACCCTGTGTTCCTTAAGCTGCAGCTGGAATAAGAAGAGTCAGTGATGATAATAAGTTTGGTATTTCTCATTAGGCTCCAACGCATGTAATTGGATTCCAAGTCCCGTAATGATTTCTTTGAACTTAGATGTGAATACAGATTTTCTTTTCTCTTTCTTTATAGGTTTTTTTCCCTGCAATTAAATAACAGTGCTGTATCATGTTTTTCCCTAAGAATGTCCCTCTTTTTCCCAGAACCATGCAACGGCCATAATTGAGTTTAACTGCTGGTTCCCTTTTACTTCTTGACAAATGTATCCAGAAGTGATTTTTCTTTTTTCCATTTGATCAAGGAATTCCCTAAATCTGCCAAACCCATTTGGCTGATTTTTCTCTTTCTCCCTTTTTTGAGCCCAGGGAGTGCCCACCTTGCTTCTTTCATTCTTACTACTCATCCCTT